TCTTGAAACCTGGTTTTCCCTGGAAATAGAAAAAAGATTCTTTTAAAAAAATATTTATTTTTTAGTTGTAGTTGGACACAATGCCTTTATTTATTTATTTTTATGTGGTGCTGAGGATTGAACCCAGGGCTCCATACATGCTAGGTGAGCGCTCTACTGCTGAGCCACAACCCCAGCCCAGGAAAAAGATTTTTGGAGAGAGAAGATATATTTCAAAATCTGAGGAAGAGATTTGTAAGAAGCCCTGCCTCTGCTCCCAGGAAGGTGTTTTTCAAGGGAGAAAACTGGTGTCCTTCCCTTTACCTCTGTAAGGTCCCTTGCTGGGACTCCTGGGGTCCCTGTTCTTCCTGCTGCCTAGGGATGTCCTCTGCCATGACTCCAACCCATGACTCTCAGCCTGAAAAGGACCAGAGGAGACATCTTGTTCCTACTTCTCTGGGTTGTCAAAGTGCCTCTAGTGGCCTTCATAGGTGAACATGTACATATATATGTCACCAGTAATGAGGACCTTCCACCCAAGATGCCCCTTCTACTTCTGAGTGGCTTTGACTTTTCAGAACTCTTTTATGATGTCAACCCCATCTGACTCTTTGAGGGGACTGATTTCACAGAGCTCTTCCTGGTTATTTAACTGTCAAGTTTTGTACCTGGGGAGTGTTGCTTATATCCACACCTCTGGAATTTCAGTGTGCCTTCAAAACAGCTGGTGGTATGCTGGTCAAAGTCCTGGAGGGCTGCTGAGCTCTGCCATCCTCAGGGGACCAGAGTTTGAGTGGCAAGACCTTCGATTTAATGAAATCTACCTTCGAGTGGGTCTCATTTCTGCTTTTCAGCCACAGAGAACAAAGTGCACATGACCTGGTTTTTCTGAGCATTTTACCATTCTAGTCTAGCCCCTACTCCTGAACTCGGCAGCTGCTAAACCTCCACACTGGAATCGTGTCCTCCTGATATCTTCCCAATATCTTCCCGGTTCCTTCCCATAGCATCCCACTTCCCTGGATGGCTCCTAAGTTGTCATGGCTTTGCATTTTCATATCAAGGGATTGCTGCCTTTTGACACATTCCAGTGACAAACCCTCTAAGTATGTGACACTAAGCTGAGACACTCTGGCCAGGACTGAACACCTTGGGGCAGAATGGGAGCAGGGATTGTTCTGGTTCAAATAAGCTCAAGACCTTACAATCTTGTTTAGGAACAATGTCGTCCTACGGATACCTATGGAGCCTAATATCAAAAAGCTTCCACCCCTTCCTGCAGATGGCCCTTCCTGTCACAATGATGACAAAGTGGGTATAAACGAATTCATCGTCTAATGTAATAATAACTTGATATGTTAGACTGCAAGGGAACTGTGACAGGCAATTCTAACGAGACAGTGTCTTACGCTAAAGGCCAACTCCCTAGTGGTGTCATCTGAGGGCTCATGGCACACTGGTAGGAAAGACATGGTAAGGGGATTTCTCAGAGCCAACTAGGCCACTGCTTCCTGCCCTCTCCCTGAAGCTCCCTGAAGAGTAAAGAAAGACTCAGCACTTGATTCTGTAGCATCCAGGGCACAAGGAGCTATTGCCACAAGGGTATTTGATTTGGAGCTTCTTATGGTTTAGATGTGCTGTCCCCCAAAAGCTTATGTAGGAGATAATGCAAGAAGGTTTGGAGGAAAAATAATTGGGTTGTAGCCTTAGCCTATTCAGTGAATTAATCACTGATGGGTTAACTGAAGTGGTAGGGTATGACTGGAGGAGGTGAAAATTGGGGTGTGGCTTTGGGTATATTTGTATCTGGTGAATGGAGTCTCTTTTTCTGCTTTCTGATCACCATGATGTGAGCTGCTTCCCTCTGCCACACTATTCCGCCATGATGGTCAGCATTACCTCGAGCCCCAAGGAATGGAGTCGGCCTTATTGGACTAAGACCTCTGAAAGTGTGAGCCCTCAAATGAACTTTTCTTCACCTACAGTTGTTCTGGTCAGATCCTTAATCACAGCAGTGAAAAAGCTGACTAAAACAGAGCTGTTGGTTATTTCAAAGTAGTCTTGGGTCAGGGGCCACTGAGGTCATTCCTCCAGGAATGACTAGGAAGGAAACCAAGTCTCTGCTGGATATGCCAGCTTTGAGGAAGGCTGTCACCCTCCTGGAATGCCATGTCAAAATGTACCTATTTTAGTATGAGTTTTGGTCGAGGCCACAAGACAACAGATACCACATAGAATAAAGTGTGAGGCCACCATGCAGCCCTTGCAAAAAAAAGAGGTGGCGGAGAGCCAGTTTTTTACCAAGAGATGCCACCCACATCTAGCCTGGAAGCCAGATCACAGCAGCTGAAAAACATTGGCCAGAAAAAAAAAAAAATTGTGGCGAGAACTATTCAGTCTATTCCCAGTGGCTTCAGCGTGGCCATGTGAATAGTTTGTATTTTTCAGCCATAAGGGAACACACTGTGAGGGTCTGTTACTCCAATACCTTGGAGCTTGGGAGATACAATGGCTGATTGTTCAATGCCCACAGGAGATCTAAGAGACTGCAGCTGGCTGGCAGAACAAAGGAGAGGTGCCCTCAGGAATCAGCCTGCACATCCAGAGTTTGTTGGGGCAGAGTGTAGGCTTCTCAAGGACCAGGTGTAGGCCATGGGAAGAGAGATCTGAAGAGGGTTTGCCTTAGATTCCTTCCACAGGACTATCTGAGGCACAGGGCATTTCAGCAGAAAGAAGCTGGAGGCGACCCCCTGAGGTCTTGGACTGTGGAAGGAATTGTAAGTGACCATCCCGAGTAGAGCTGCATTTGTACGTGTCAAGGAAAATGCAGGCAAGAGATGATAGGGTCACCAAAGAATCCATGTGAGACCCCACAGGATGAAGAATGCGCTTAAAACATTTGCCAGGGTCAGGGAACACATTGCCAGCTCACAGCAGATCCTGGCAAGCTCCCCTGCCTCTGCCTCTCCCCTCCTTCCTCACACTACTGTAAAGGGTCCTGAAGTCAAGATGATGTAGGTACGGGAGGTGGCAGAAACACCCGCTGGGGATAGTTAGGGAAGCCAACCATGCCCTCTGTTAGTGCTGCAGACAGCTGGCCTGAGGCAAACCTGAGCCAGGATTGTGCAGAACAGTACAATATCTTTGAATGAAATTGAAAGTTCAAACATCTCTCTGACCTGGGCACATTCATTCTTGACTAGAGAACATTTTGTAACACCAAAGGAACCAGAAAGATCACAAGATTTGTCTTAAATTTCCATCCATAGTCAGGGAGAAACTGGTTCCACAGGATAAATGTAGAGGATAGTAGAAGATGTGAATTATGTGGCTTTATGTCATGTCCCATGGGCCACTGTTTGATCAATGGAACAGTGAGGTGAGGGTTTGAGAAATCACACCATTCTGCTATCTCGTTGCAAGATTCAGTAGAAAATAAATTTACTTGAGAATGTTTCCAAGTCAGCTAACGCTCATAAGAAAGGCCAGATTGATAAACCATCAAAACCCAAAAAAACATTCTATAAAGCACCTCCAGCCTCTCCCTGAACATAGGGAACACAAGTACAGAGAGACGAGAAGCCTTTTTCAAGCTCACACATGGAGACATGAAGAAAAACACAGACAAATACGTTATCTGCTTACATCAACCACGTTCAATTACTACCAATTGGAAACTTGTGAAAGTCAAGTTTCTTCCTGCTTCCCACATCCCAGAGGGATTAAAGCAAAACCATAGGCAAGGTCTTGATAGTCTCCAAGAAAATCTATGCTAAGGATCTAAATTGATCCTTCCCCTGCCGTCCTCCTGGGCTTGAGGTATAGCCACTTTAAAAAAAAATTATTTGTAGATGGATACAATACCTTTATTTTGTTTGTTTATTTGTATGTGGTGCTGGGAATCAAACCCAGAGCCTCACGCATGCTAGGCAACCGCTCTACCATTGAGCCACAACCTCAGCCCTGGCCACTCTTCTTTTTAAGTACCCTTTTGTTGAATGCTCTAAATCTTTCCATGACTGTTTTTTTTTTAATATTTATTTTTTAGTTTTAGGTGGACACAATATCTTTATTTTTTTATTTTTATGTGATGCTGAGGATCAAACCAGTGCCTCATGCATGCTAGGCGAGCAGTCTGCCACTGAGCCACAACCCCAGGCCTGTGACTATTTTTAATGTCATCTGTTCCTAAAAAACTTTTCTTASTTGATGCATTTGTCTTATCTAAGACCATTTCACACAGTGCCTGGAACAGAAGAGGATTATGCTTACAGAATAACCCCATGGCAGTTCCAGTTCCACTACCTGTGTGCTTTTCATAGATCAACAATGCTGCCTTCAGAAAAAGACAAAAGGCAAAAAAATTTCTGTCTTACCTTGGGATTCACATTCAACTCTTTGCAAATCCATAACTCAGGGCTGCTAAGTGGGGAAGGGGCCCCTCCCATGGGCATCCAGCCCCTCTGACAGACAATACCACACCGTGGCAAGTGTGGCCCCTGTGGCCTTGTCTGTCCTGATCTATTCTGTGGCTGCTGGTACAAAAGAAGCTCAACCCTTGGGTTACTTTTGCATCTTCTGATGGGCAAAATAAATACCAGCTCTCACTAAGACATTTTTTAAATACAGTCAAATTCCTACAGTAAGAGAYACCTCGTAGCACTGTTTCTCCATGCAGGCAGGCATCTGAGACTCCTGGGCAGCACCACCTTCACCTGTTCTTAGCTCTGGATCCTTTGGGATTTCTTAATTCCATAGTCTCCCAGTCCTTCAACTACTCAATAATGATGAGCAGATGCCCCGCGTCTAGATTATACTCAAGTGAGGAAAAATCACTCCTTAGATGGGATGGAGTCTGAATTCTATCACCACAAGCCTCAAAGCCTGAATGTTAGTGCTTAATAGTTGAAGTGACCACTTCCTGCTGCTGCCTGGGGTGGGTACAGTCCAGGGACCCCTCAGTCCCAGCCGGCTCTGCCAGCTCCCAGTCACCTCTCCAGCTCACCTGAGGTATGGCCTACCTGACTCCATCCGCCCTTCCTCTCGCTCCTGGGCCTTCTCGGAGGCACTGGGGGTCCCAGGGAAGGGCTGGTGGCTGAAGAGGTCGTCACACAGGAGGCTGCGGCACAGCTTGGCCAGGAAGCGCAGGACGTAGCCCACGCTGTTGACCACAGGCAGACTCCGCAGGTGCTGCTTCCCATCGAAGGAAGCCGAGACTGGAAAAGCACAGAGACAGTGACTCAGAGCTGGACACAGGATAAAACTGCCCCTGAGCCAGCCCTGAGAAGGGCCGCGTGGGTTCAGTTTGAAGTCAGTCGTGTTTGGATTTCACCTGTGGTCCCGCTATGTTTCTGTTCCTGGGTTTCATCCAGGATGACACGTTGCATTTCGCTGTCAAGTTCCCTGGTCCCCTGGGTCCTGACAGTTTCTCACCGTTTCCTTGTTGATCTTGACAGCTTTGAAACGTTCTGGGCAGGTACTGTGTGAAAGGCCCCTCAGTTTGGTTTTGCCTGATGTTTTTCTCATGGTTAGATGAGGTTATGGGTTTGGGGAAAGGAAAGAGATGGAGTGCCCTTCAGGCCTGAGATCAGGGGGCACCGGATCTCCTCACCTGGCCAAGACAGCACGCCCCACATTCCTCTACTGTGTTCTCCATATCCTGTTCCTGGGGACAAGTCACTCAGCCTGTCCACTCTCAAGGACGGCGGGAGAATTCTACATGTCATCTGAAATTCTTCTGTGGGGAAGAGTTGTCCCCTGTTTAGTGATTTAGTCAGTCRTTTCTTAATCTCAGCACACCGTGGGTTGTCCAAAACTACCTTATTTATTTTGTTGTTCAAATTGCCCTGACTTTTGTCTTTGGGAGCTCTCACAGGTCAACYCCTGTGACATGCCCTCTCTTTCATTTTATTTAGCACCACTTTGGTTTTGAGCGTTTCCATATGCTCCGAGTGAATCTTGTATTTTCCCTGCACCGGCCATTCCTTCAACAGTCCTGACTCCTTTCATTGAAGAATGATATTTCGAAATTTAGATTGGGGCACCTGGTGTGCCCATTGCTACTGAGGTGTCAGTGATTCTAAGCCCTCTGGTGGACAAAGATAAGAATGTATGTATGTATGCTAGCCTGCTATAATTACTCACTATCTACAGGTCTACCTAAGTATCCATATCTGTATCTGTCTCTATGTCCATATCTATAGAAGGAGATAGATGCAGATACACTGATACATCCAAATAAACACGAGTTCACATTGAGGTRTTCAGTTCTAATCCTGAACCAGAGTTCAGGGGGTACTTCTTTTTTTWWAAAATTTTTATTGTTGGTTGTTCAAAACATTACATAGTTTTTGATATATCATATTTCATACTTTGATTCAAGTGGGTTAAGAACTCCCATTTTTACCCCGTATACAGATTGCAGAATCACATCGGTTACACATCCATGGATTTACATATTGCCATACTAGTGTCTGTTGTATTCTGCTGCCTTTCCTATCCTCTACTATCCCCCCTCCCCTCCCCTCCCCTCCCCTCTTCTCTCTCTACCCCMTCTACTGTAATTCATTTCTCCCCCTTGTGTTTTTTTCCCTTTCCCCTCACTTCCTCTTGTATGTAATTTTGTATAACGCTGAGGGTCTCCTTCCATTTCCATGCAATTTCTTCAGGGGGTACTTCTGAAGAAGCATTTGGGGAAACAGTCTTTATAAAAGGAAAATAATCTCTCTGTATTAAAAAGGAACTCAATTTCTAAATAGTTGCTAGAATGCAGAAGCAATATCAGTTTCATAAAGCCCTGAGCATGCGCCTTCCTGAATCTCTCTCACAGTCCTTTCCCACCCCAGGACTACACTATTGTAATAATAAATCAAAAGAATCCATTTCTTTCATGTAGCCCTTTCCAGTTTGACAAGACCTTTGGTATTTACCACCTCACATAGGCCCTGTGACCATTCTCCTGAGGACAGTGGACCCAGGCTGCAGATGAGGAAGAAAGTAGGCCAGAGTGACTTCCCAGCTCACCTGGCCTCTGTGTGACATTGCCTTTCATTTCAATGCTCCAGGTGGCTCTAATTGCCAGGTCCAGGGAAAGGGCTGCCATGATGCTTATGAAGGGCATTGTTGTCCTAGCTGTGCTAGAAATTCCCTCTTAGTGTGAGCACAGCCTCTTGCCTCCGATAGCTTGAAAGCCTGGGTGATACGGAATGGAACCCACAGCAGGAGGTTCCAAGGAGCTCAGGCCTGTCCCATCAATCCATGTGCGTGTATTCTTGGAAGTGCTTGGGAAATCCCCAAAGTGGGGAATCCCACTTCTACAGGAGGAATTCATGGGTTCATAAAATCATCTCCTCTGAGACAGCATGGCTAAGACAGCATCCCCAAAGGTGTGCCAGGAGTGGGTTACAGGGCTCTGTGATGCTGTCCCCTTAACTCGTGGGTGTGGCCCAAGGTCCCTACAGCTTCTTGTAGCCATGAGCACTTTGGTTCCTTTGCTCACGTGCCAGCCCCCATGTGATCCCTTGCTGTGATGTAGGGACATTTGGAGAGCAGTGCCACACAGAGTGGCTTCTAAGTGGAGTGTAGGAGTCCGGCAATTCTCCTGGAGTCACTTCTCTCCCTAAGCCACCTTGGTGTTGTCACACAGCCTTGCCAAGCCTCCATCTTTATCTATAACACAAAAACCCACCTTGTGCTTAGTGACGCGAAGGTGGCAGCATGAGGAGTCGGCTCTGTGCTGTGGCCTTCTCCAAGACCCCAGGAGAAAGTGCTTGGCCTGGCCTGCCTGGGAATTCCCTTATCCAAGAGAAACTTGGTGAGGCCCTGTCCACTCTGGCATTGCTCCTCCCCAGTGCCAAGGCCCTGAAGCCACAGAGAGGCCTGAGCAGGAAAGCAGGGCACAGGGTCAGCTCTGCAGCTTAGGCACAGGGACCACAAAGCACTTAGACAGGAGGCTCTCAGGAGTGGACTCAGTGTGAGGAGGAGCCTGCTCCTAGCCCAGGTCTGTGCCTTAGCCCTGCAATGCAGCAAGGAAAAGGACAGGCCTTCAACCTCAAGGGCAGCCCAGGACCTGGAACCTGGCTCCCGACAGAAGTCAGGAGAGGAATGGGTAAGGGCTCTCGGAGGACCTGACGACTCTCCTGACCCCTCCATGCTGTGTTTCTTCTCCTCTCTGATAAAGTGTCTTGAAATTACCATGGGTCAGGGGGTGGGTGTGGCTCAGTGGTAGAGCATTTGCCTAACATGTGTGAGGCCCTGAGTCCAATCCCCAGAGCCCTCCCCACCAGGAAGGAAGGAGGAAAGAAAGGGAGGGAGGAAGGAAGGAGGGAGGGAGGAAGGAAGGAAGGAAGGAAGGAAGGAAGGAAGGAAGGAAGGAGAGGGTTAAAAATCACTCTGGGGCAGACATAACCTTGACAAAATCAATCGCCAGCAAGTGAGACCCAGCTTCCCACTGAGAGGGAACTCCAAAAGGTCAGCTGTCTCCATGGAGTCAGGGAAGCAGTGCTGGACAACCTGGCCACCCCCAGCCATGGCGGCTGGAGATAAAGGAAGTATGCAACTTGGGTTACTCTGACTGCAGCCTCCGCTAGCTAGTCAGCCAGGTTCCCTGAACGGCCCTACTGCCAGAAAATCAGAGAATCCCTGACGCTTTGGAAGGACAACTCCCTAGTGCTGAGCCAAAGGAGACATCAGGCTGTCCCCTTGGTGACAAGACCCCTTGTAAGGGCTTGGTGCTACAGGCAGGCAGGAGCAACCATTGTGTAGAGCCTGGGGTAGACCAGAAGGAGCCTTTGCAGGCAAAACATTTGAACGGGACAAGAGCTCTCCATCCTGCCCCCTCACATGGTGGGAGCAACAGGGCTCCCTCTGGAAGCTGCTGCTGTGTGGGCTGTGTGGGCTGTAGCTGGAGGAGGGCTGTGACAGCAAGCAAAGGGATTTCTCTGACATTGAGAGATCTTGTTTTTTTTTTTTTAAATAAACTCTTGAATTGGGGTTGAAAACATCTTTCATGGTGGGTGGGTGCTGTGAGTAAGGAAGGGAGTGAGGAAGACTAGAGTGACAAGGGCTGATGCTTTAGACAGGTGCCAGAAAAGAACTCTTTGATAAGGAAGGCATCTGAGTAGGAACCTAGAGAACATCCAAGAACAAGTCACATGGACATGTGGAGAAGAACATTCCAGAAAGAGAAAAATGCAGGTGTAAAGGCCCTGAGGCAGAAGCACAGTTGAAGAATGAAGGTAGAATAGCGAGGAAGTCACCATGGTCAGCACAGACTAGGGGATGAGAAAGTGACCTGGAGATAGAGGAGATAGCCAGGGCCAACTAATATAAGCCTGTGGGCCCCTGTTAGGACTTGGCATTTTACTTGAAATGACATGGGAGTCATTGGGGGGTTTAGGGTACAGGAAGGGACATAATCTAACTTAGATTTTTTTTTTTTAAAGAATCATAGTGGTTGCTATGGGTGATGAAAGGAGATTGGATCCCAGATGTATTTTGGAGGTAGAGCAATGGGACTTGCTGAAGGGTTGGAAGTAGGGATTGGGAGACAGAGAAGAGTCTAGAGAGGATTCAGATGTCCATTCTTCTTGTCTCTTTCTGGAAGCAACTTCTTGAGCCCTGACAGAAGCCTGGTCCTTGGAGCCCAGCAGGAGGAGGTCAGGCCCTGCCACACCACCTGAGGATGGCTGCTTTCTCATCATGGAGACCCCCACAGCCCTCCTCGCACGACCCACCCCAGGGCTCACCTGACACCAGCTCACCACCATAGCCCTGCTTGACCAGGGAGAAGACCAGTTTCTGCTGGTGGGCGCAGTCGATGCACGCCTGGATGGCCTGCTGCAGGACCGCGGATGGCTTCTCGGGGCCGAAGCGCTCAGGAAGTTGCTGCACCTTCCTCCTCTCCAGGTAGGGCCCCGCGTTGGCTTGCTTGTTGATGTAGAGGCAGACTGGGAACAGAGACCACAGTGCCCTTGCATCAGATATGCAGCAGGTCAGCTGGCTGCTCCCCATGCTGCGGGGACTCTACAGACCTGTGCCCTTGGCCTTGACCTTGGGAAAACTGAAAATCTCAGAAGCAGCACAGATTCTTCCCAACTTAAAAAGCAAAAGAGGCAAAAAAAAAAAAAAAAATCGCCAGACACCCCACCTTCCAGGGCTTGCTCTCAAAGGAGTCTCCTGACAAGGAGCATGTACGGGGGTCCCTTCTGAGGCACTCAGGTCACTGATAAGGTGACCCAGGAGGACCGTGAGTATAAATGTATTTCCTCTCTGGGCAAGTACATGTACAAAATATTTCCTCATCCAAGGGAGCTGTCAATCCAACATAAAGTTGGCCATTTCTTTGTGAACTCTCCATGAATAAAAAACTAACACGATGCCAATCACTCCAGAGACTCCATATTCAATGAAATTCTAAAGAGAGTGCTATTCATAATCTCAGAGAGAACAAATGTTTGACAACCCATTTAGGGGAGCTCAGTCAATGATCCCCAAAGGTAATAAGATATCAGTACAAAAATTTTGAAAATATATCTCAAATTGTGTTTATCTATGTAGAGGTTATTTACATTCTTAACTCTATTAATGTATTGTATACATTTATTTACAGGAAAGTATCAAATTTATGTAATTTAAAGCTATAGAAAATGTTAGAATGTCTACAATACTGATTTTCCATATACAATAGATTTCAGTAAATTACAGGGGAATCTATATGAATTTCGAAGTTTAAAAGAAAAGGCAATGTCTCCTAAATCCTTCTTAAGGAGAAAACGTTCCTACAGAGAAGACCACCCACAGAGTTGATTATCATCAATATAAGTGACTTAGGCAGTTGTTTGAGGGGCTCCCACTTAGTTTACACAAGTTCCACTTAATTCTGTTCTAGGACAATGACATAAACTCCCACCCCCAAACATCTATTTTACCTATAATTTGACAATAGTTTCCTCATGGGTCAGCCTATTTCCTGTCCCCTACTACCAGAACAGTTGTTTTCAGATTTTAAAATAACAGTTACGCTGTTATCACCTTGCTTAGAAAAGCCCAAAGTTTCTCACTGTCCTTGAAATCAAGCCACATTCCGTAAGCAAAGAGTTCTCTAGCCCACCCCTGGAGAGAAACAAACCCAAATAAGGTGGAAAAATTTGTTCTCTCCCTTCCAGTGACATAGTAAAGGCTGGTCTCACAGGTATTTATTTATATTCTAAAACATATCTAAAAAATAGAAGTTTACCGGGATGAGATAAAAATGTATGTTAAGAGCAGGTGTAGAATTTTCTTCCATACTTAACACCCCCAGTTTAAGTGTCTGCCCTTCCCATCATGACACACCCCACCCTCCCAGGATATAAGCATCTTACCTTAGTGGCCACTGAGCAAGGGAGTGTTGAAGAGGGACTTTTTGCATGCGTGTGTGGTGCTGGGGATTGAACCCAAGGCCTTATGCGTGAGAGGCAAGCACTCTACCAGCTGAGCTATATCCCCAGCCTGAAGAGGAACTTAAGATCTCCTTAAGAGGAGACCAAATGTACTTTGGAAAGGTTAAGCAGTAACAGGAAAGATGGAGAAAGCTTGCTTTTATTGAGCACCTCTTATGTTCTCAAGACAAGCCTGAGAGTTGGGTATTATCAGTTCTGCTCAACCAAGGAAGGAGCTAGGCTGAAAGTACTGAGAGGACAGCTTGAAGCCTGAGGTCCATGGTGTGACGGGGATTTGGACTCAAGTCCTTCTGAAGACAAGGGCTCTTTCACGCTCTGGGGCCATCTCCTTTCTCCTCCTCCCAGATGGTAAAGAAAGTCAAATTAACAAGGGGTCTTTGTGCCAGGCACTGAGCAACGTGACCCAGCCCAGGCCTTCACAGAGCCCAGGGTCCTGGAGGGAGGTGGGCCTCTTCAGATTCTCACAGGAGCTGGGGTGAGGTCAGGAGTCTGTGAGGGACAACAGGGAGGAGCTAGCCCAGGTCACCAGCAGAGCTGGTGGCAGGAAAGGCAAAGGAGGCTTTCTAGAGGGAGGTGTGCCTGAGCTGAGGCAGGAAGGAGGACCCACCTGAAGAGAAGCTCATTCCAGATGGAGGAGGATGTGCTAAGAGCCTGTGGCCAGCCCTGGCGACTGACTGAAGGGCAGTAGGCAGGACCCCAGGGGGTGGAGCCAGTAAGGCCTATTCAGCTATATTAACAGGTTTGGTCTTTACCGAAGAGCCATGGGAGGGGACTGAGGGACTTAAGTGGGATGGGAGCAGCCAGTGGGACTGTGATGGGGATCACTCTGTGTGTGTGTGTGTGTGTGTGTGCGTGTGCGCATGTGCAAACGGGCAGATGGGCACATCAGATTACTGTCACTATTAGAATGAAACTGTTGTGGGTGTTCTTTCAGAGAGATTAGGATGCACACAACCTGCCCGCGCTGGAGGGTACTATGTGGGGCTAAAGGAGATTATTCTTAGGGGATCTGAAGTGCAAACACAGGGATGAAAATATTCTTGAGGTCAGCAGGCTCACATTGGTGCACCGGAATCTTGGCTCTGAAATGAAGCACCTAGCCACACTTTCTTGTCCCACCCCCAAGCAAGCAGTTGAGCTCAAATTGCACTGAAAACCAAGGTACAAATGATCTAAACTGCAAGGCAAGTAAACTCATATTTTCAGAGAATCTGGTTGCCCTATCCGTCCATCTGTCTCAGTGACACCATTTTAGTACATAAAGGAACTGTTAGATGGTGGGCCACGTTACCTATAGACCATCACAGCCTTGGAGTCCATCCTGCTGACCTACCTGTGAGAGCCTGTGGGGCTGCCAAGCTGGGTATGGTGGCTGCGTCCTGAGGGATCGAGCTGAGGTCTGGCTCCGGAGTACTCCTCGGAGGTGAGAGGGCTAAAGGAGTCATGAGCACCCGAGACTTGAGCTGCAAGAGAGAGCCCAAGTGTTCAGTGGAAACCTAGAAACGTTCTCCGTGCCCTTCCAGAATCTTTCCTGGAGGTCAGTTAACTGCTGTTCTCTATCATGCCTCTGAACTTTCCTATTGTGCTGCTTGGAGGGATGAGGTTCAGATTCAAGTTCATCATCAAGATTCATATTGGGGGTTTACACTCAGAGGTCAGCTCTGCACAACACCCTTATAGTGGAGCCACCCAGGAAATGATGGTGCCAAGCAGTAAGTATAGAAGTGTCACTGGTTGTGGGGCCGGGGTTGTAGCTCAGTGGTAGAGCGCTTGTGTAAGGAACTGGGTTCAATCCTCAGCACCACATAAAAATAAATAAATAAAATATAGGTATTGTGTTCATCGACGACAACAACAACAAAAGTGTCACTCATAAGCCCTATGAGTGCAGGACACAGGATGGGAGGGACAGTCCCCTGCCTGTGTCCCTGTGCTCCCTAGAATCCTGTAGACAGGGCTTTGCCCACATCCAGGAGACTGACCCTGAAGACTCCTCACTCTCTGCTGAGCTCTCTACTTGCAAAGATCACTGGATCCTTCTAGAAAAGAAAGCAAGCAGGAGCCATCCCTCCGTGGACCGACACTGCTCTGTGCTTATTTCCTGCAGCAGACTCTCTGCAGCTGGCCTAGATGTGGAGGGAGTGCCTTTCCTGATAGTGAGCAGCAGCCACCTTGAAACTAAATGTGGTTTCTCATTTGAAACCACAAATGAAGAGCTAAAATCTTCTCTTATGGAATTTGGTGGAGATGATATTGATAAGATCAATATCAACAAATCATTCTCTGTACCAAGCTTGGGACAGAGACAAGCTTTGTATCTTAGCTCTCTACCCCCAAATAGCGAAGCCATTAGTTACTAACCTTCTCTACCACTGACCTGTCTGGACCTCATTCCAGAGGAAGAAAGTCAGTTTCTGGAAGTGGGACCTAGGTGTCAGGAGTTTCAAAAGGTACTCAGATTCTATTACATAGTTAAGTTGAAGGCTGTCGCTCAATCCCTGAGCTTTTCAACTTTTGCCAAGAAACCTCCTGATGAGTTTCCTTAGAGGGCAGACTTTGACTCAGGAGTTTGGGGTCAGACCTGAGATTCTGCATCCTAATGAGATCATAGGTGATACTGACTTTGGACCACAAATGAGTAGCAAGGTTGTCTATTCAGTTGTTAACATACGAACAGTCCCCATCCATAGCCTGTACTTTTAGGACAGAATAATATTATTAGTGATTGATAAAAGGTATTGACTGCTAGTTACCCAGTCATTCTACATTTATTCACAAACATGCATCTTGGGCCCTTTTTAATGCAAGACACTCTTCTAATTGCTGGGGATACAACAGAGAACAAAGCAAATGAAATAAAATTGTATCTTTACCCTTATGGAATTTACATTCTATTGTGGGAGACAGACAACAAATGAAATACTTAAATACATATATTGACTGTTATATGGTGATAAGAACTTATGGAAAAATAAACAGGGAAAGGGCATGGGAAGGGCAATTGAGAAGTTGTATTTTGGGGTGAAATTTTAAAATGGGGTGGTTCCTGATTGGAATAAGATTAGGAAATAATGGGAGAGAGACACTGGGATTAGGAAGTAGTCAACTCATTCAAGGAATTTTGTCATAGAGGGGAGAAGAGAATGAGACATAAAAAGAGGGAAAAGGATATTGGTTTTTTTTTTTTTTTCTTGAGGTAATGAACTTATCCTAAAACTCACTGTGTGGGATTCGGGGGTGGCTCAGTGGTAGAATGCATGCTTCACTTGTGTAAGACCCTGACTTCAATCATCAGCACCAAAATAAATACATAAATAAAAAGCAAAGGCACTGTGAAGATGGTTGCCCATATTTCTGAGTATTTTAAACAAATAACTTCTGCTTTATACACTTTAAATATGTAAATTGTATAATMTGTGAAAGAAACTGTCAAAAATCAATCAATTCCTACAAATAAGTAATAAATCATTAGAAAACAATGACAAAACTTCCATTCACAAAATCAAAAACTGTACAATGTCTGGAAATCTCATAAATATTGTGTAAAAACCTTCATTGATAAAATTATAATAATGAAGTAATAAATATCTTGATAAATAGAGAAATTAAAAAACAAAGAGGGAATAGTAAGAGTAAAACAATTTTGCCCCCTGGGGCTGGTGTTGTGGCTCAGAGGAAGAGCTCTCACCTAGCATGCGTGAGGCACTGGGTTCTCAGCACCACATAAAAATAAAAGTATTGTGTTCACCTACAACTAAAAAATAAATGTTTTTTAAAAAAAGGATTTTTGCCCCTTAGGTACAAAAAAGATTTTGCACCCGTTAAGATAGCTACTAGTAAACAAACAAACAAAACCCCCATGAAATAGCAAATATTGGTGAGGTGGTACAGAAACTGGAACTCCTGTGCACTGTTGGTAGAGATGTAAAATGTAACATTTCTGTGAAAAGTGAAAGACATTTCCTCAAAAAAAAAAAATACAACTGCCATACGACAGGCCCAGCAAGCCACTTCTGAGCGCATACCGAAAGAACTGAAAGTAGGATCTCAAAGAGATATTTGTATATTCATATACATAGAGCACCATTGACAACCACCAAAAGTCAAATTCAAAGAGAAAGTGGAGTCGCAGTTTCCAGGGCCTGGATGAGGAGGGAATGAATTACTGTTGAGTGAATTTAGAGCTTTAGTTTTGCAAAATGAAATTTCCGGAGATTGGTTGTGCAATAATGTGAATATACATGCTACTACTGAACTGCATAATTAGAAATAATTACAATAGTAATCATGATTTAAACTTTTAAAAGATATTTTAAAAGATTCTGTGCTGTTTTGTTTTCAAGATGGGGAAAATAACAGTGCTTTAATGCTGATGCCAATAATCCAGTACAGAAGGAAAGACTGATGATATAAGGGAGTGTGTGGAGACCTGGGGTGTGGGGCTTTGAGAAGGTGAGGAGGGAAGAGATTCACTGTGTGCAGGGGAGGTGAACTTGCACCTTTCATCTGCTTCAAAGAGAAGAAAAGCAGAATATAAAGGTCTGGCTTCTACATCAATGTTTGTAGCAGCACAATTCACAATAGCTAAACTGTGGAACCAATTTAGATGCCCTTCAGTAGATGAATGGATTAAAAAATGTGGCATATATACACAATTGAATATTACTCAGTAATAAAAGAGAATAAAATCATGGCATTTGCAGGTAAATGGATGGCATTGGAGAAGATAATGCTAAGTAAAGTTAGTCAATCTCAAAAAACAAATGCCGAATATTTTCTCTGATATAAGGTAACTGACTCATAATGGGGTAGGGAAGGGGAGCATGGGAGGAATAGATGAACTCTAGATAGGGCAGAGGGATGGAGGGGAAAGGAGGGGGCAGGGGATTAGCAATGATGGTGGAATGTGATGTACATCATTATCCAAAGTACATGTATGAAGACATGAATTGGTGTAAACATACTTTATATACAAACAGAGATATGAAAAATTGTGTTCTACATGTGAAATAAGAACTGCAATGCATTCCGCTGTCATGTAGTTACCAGATAAAATTAAATAAATAAATAAAAACTATATTGAAAAAAAAAATAAAGGTCTGGCTTCTGGGTAGGTGGATCCGGAGGTGGGATCTTGCAGGTCTTTTTCTGATGGCGTCTAATTTCCTTGGGATGTAGGAAGCTGAGCAGGAAGACAGGGGAGGTGAGCATGCTTATGAATCAGGAGGGTGGGAGGACTGGGAAGGGAGTGTAGCTGTTGAACAGCACCAAGGGGACACTGAATGTGTGGAAATGCATTTAAAATGAGATCAGCCATCAGCAAGCCCATCGACTGCAGAGTGCTGTATGGGTACAGAGTTTGGAGCTCTTGAGGGAGCCTCTGTATTCAWCAGAAGCTAAGATTAACAACAGATTTCATCTTATTCTGAGCACAGCATTTAAAAAATTAAGGGCCCATCATGTAGCAATACATTGCCAAATATTATAAAAATAATGTAACAGAAACTTCAGTGGTGGGAATGAGACATCAGAAGCCTGCTGTGACTCAGTCACCATGGCTTTGGTGTGGCTTCCTCATTTGCCAAGGAGCTGCCAGTCTTTGGAGGTCAAGCACCAAGGGTTCCTGGGAATGCTATCCCACTCTGCACGACTTGTGATGGAGAGGCTGGCCATGAGTACCAGAGGATTCTGGGCAGGGCTCTGGGAGGACCTCAGCTTAATCCACCTTTGCAGGTTTACAGCCCTTTAACCCCAATCTAAAGATAATGATGTTCATCAGGGAAAACAGAATTGGCAAGCTGTCATTTCTCCCCTCCCTGTGAACTTCAAGAAAATCACACAGGGATCCTTGTGATCCTTCCCTAGAAAGATTGATGATGATGATGGTGGTGGTGGTGGTGGAAACTTAAACATCTAGACTGTTTATTGCTCATATAAATCTCACAACAACTCTAACGTGTAATGCTAGGGAGAGTTGTAAATGACAAATATCTCATACACAAAAATTCCAAATAACTTACATAGAAAATTCTTTCCCAAGTAGACGAACATAACTTGTCTTTAAGTGTGGACTGCACATAGTGACCTCCTTCAGAACAGTACAGATGGAAATAGGGGGAAAAGTAGCTTTAACAGTGAGGAAAGCTGACAAATATCACCTCAATCTTATGTCAAAGGTCAATATCAATAGTGATCTTGATAGTATGTACTTCATATGACACCATGAAATGTCACTTACCTCTGAGATCTTCCCAAAGATCAATAACTCCAGTCTAGTATTGAGAAAAACTGTAGTCAAACCCTAGTGTCAGAACATTCCACAAAATACCTGACCAGTACTCCTCAAAATTGCCCAGGTCGACAAAAATAAGGAAAAGGTGAGTAACAATTACACCTCAGGAGCTTAAGGAAACATGATGACAAAATATAATGTGGGATCCTGGAAGAGAATAGAGGACAGCTA